AACAGCGAAATAGATTTGAACATTAGTGTGATGTAAAATTACTCATGCTAGAAATTTTCATAAAAGTGACCTGAAAAACAGTGCTAACTTGGTAACCCATGCCCTGATGAAGTTTCGTAAAGAGCGCGAACGGTAGTGTGATGTAAAAATTACTCATGCTAGAAATTTTCATAAAAGTGACCTGAAAAACAGTGCTAACTTGGTAACCCATGGCCTGATGAAGTTTCGTAAAGAGCGCGAACGGTAGTGTGATGTAAAAATTACTCATGCTAGAAATTTTCATAAAAGTGACCTGAAAAACAGTGCTAACTTGGTAACCCATGGCCTGATGAAGTTTCGTAAAGAGCGCGAACGGTAGTGTGATGTAAAAATTACTCATGCTAGAAATTTTCATAAAAGTGACCTGAAAAACAGTGCTAACTTAGTAACCCATGGCCTGATGAAGTTTCGTAAAGAGCGCGAACGGTAGTGTGATGTAAAAATTACTCATGCTAGAAATTTTCATAAAAGTGACCCGAAAAATGGTGCTAACTCGGTAACCCGTGGCCCGATTTTAACAAAACTTATTTTATTCTGTTTCTGTTCTCATTTAATTACAAATATGGTGCTATTGTGCATCATTTTTGCTGTATTTAATTACAGACAAGCAAACAATCTCAGAGTTTTAGTATATAGATTATAAATATGATTCTTGATTATGTGAAACATTTTTATGTATTGATTGGTCTTAATCTTAATTCCTTAATTTTTTGCCTTCTACAGTTTAACATATCTATTAATTTTAGTACTTAAGAGCTGGCTTCTCTCATTCTGTATTATTTAAGATAATTCTCATATAAGTAGCAGTATTTTGTCCTTAAGAATACTTAAGAATAAGATACTAGTTAATCACTCATTATCATTTGCTCTTTGTTTTGTGTAGTAGCAGTTTTTCATTCTATAAAGTGTGGACCATTCTGAAATTATTTATTCATCAGAAAGTACCAGTTTAGAATTTTTCTGGTTTCAGTACAAAAAGTAAAACTGTTTGTTTTATTGAATGAAGTTTTTAACTAATGGATAAAATATAAGAACTTTGATCAGAGGTAAATTTACATTTTCACATGTATTTAGTTTCACTATAGAGCTGGCTCAGTGATTTCATAGAACACTTTGAATTGTTTTTTTCTCACTGTCATTAGAATAAGAAATTGTGGATGAGTTTCAAGTAATTTGATCACATAGTGGAAAATAAAAATTTTAAGTTATTAAGTTGTACATGATGAGAACAACTATATATTTGCCACTGTTATTATCATTTTGTGTTGTTTGAAGTTTGATCTTTGTATGATAAAGTAAAATATTATTGCTTTAATATAAATAATTGCAATTGAAGTTAAGTAGAAATAAGAATCATTGTACTGATTTAATTTTTCATTGTATTTGAATACAAAATTTAAATTTTTCTTTTTCCAATATTTTTAGGTTGGTCTGGGCAACAACCATTATATAATTATAATCACTAAGTAATAACCTACGCATCTTGTATTATGTAATAATCAAATATATCCTGTATTACATAAAATATTTTATAACTTCATTTTGTTACATTACTGAAATATGTTTATTAACTTGCATCTACTGTTAATTCAGAAAAAAATGTTTGAAACTTCAAAGTGTTACATTGTCTACAAAAAAAGGGCCTGTCATAATTAAAAAAACAAAGCTCTGTTGAACAGTGTCTACATAAATTTTCTTTTTACCCTATAGGTATTAGTTATTGCATTTTTAATTTTCCTAATCTGACTAGTTTTAGTGCAACTTCAAACTTGTGGTTTAACCCTCTGAATACAAGTAGGTAAAAGTGCAAATGTCATTTAAAATTTAATATCATACAAGTCTTAATTTCAAAAGGAAATATTTAAATAAATTTTCAATCTTCACTTTTCTATATCACGAGACTTGTGTGCTCCAAATTGTACATTTAGAAAAAAAAATTTCCACACCTATTTAAGATTCTGAGTTTTAATGCAAATTACAGGCTTGTACTATAGCTATTGCTGAAGGATAATGTAACTTTATAGTCTCCAGTCATATTGTTTTATTTAGGTATAAACCAGAAAGTCAAACCCACAGGCCATGCCTTCCTATCACAAACAACAGAAAGAGAAGATCTTAATTCACTCATGTATGTGTAATACTAACTCATTCTCGGAAAGCTTTTGAATTATTTGGCCTTCAAATTCAAAGTTGTTATTGCAGAATTAGCTTGACTAGCTAAGGGAATTATTTTAATGCAATTGTAACTTTGTTAGAATGCCATTTAAATTATAATAGTTATAGGATACTGTATTCTTTGGATGTGTATTATTATTTTGTGCTCTAAGTTGATTATCAGTAAATAAAAATTTGGTAAAGTACTAACAACAACCCTTGCAAAAATCAGCATTCACTTTTATCAATAATTTGAGACTCCAACTGCAAAAAAAGTACAAGACTCTCACATAAGTGCTAAATTTCTTGCTATAAAAGCACTTATACTATAAAAATGAGAAACTATTAGGTAAAATATGTAAACCTGAGTGAAGATCAATTTAAAAAGTTCTGAGAGGTATTCAAAAAGCTAATGTACTACATAATTCAATACTTTGATTACCATAACTTGAGCTATGTGTTCACCAGGTGATTTTTAGCTTTTAACTGTGTATAACTATTAACCATGCTTTACAAAGAGTAATAAAACAAATATAAACTATTACAAATCTGAGGCTGTTTAGGATAAATAATTGTAATTTTCTGTTGCAGTCTGCAGTTGTTCTAGAAAAAAAAAAAGGTAATTTAGATTGACTTCATATTTTTTTGTGTGCTTGTTATAAGGTTGGTCAAAATGGACAAAGCTTAGAGCTAAGAAAACTTATTTAATTTATTTATGTAAACCTCTGTGAATTAGTATTTCGTTTAGAGCGTAATCAGTGTTTGATATTATTGGTGCCGACAGCCTCTGTAAATACTATAGTAAAACTATAAATATGTCACAATGACATAACAAGAGATGAAATGACAGTACTTTAAATTTAAGAACACTGATATTTAATATGTCCCAAGTGAAACTTTGTGGTTTTGAAAGTCTGTAACTACATCCCAGTTACTGACTGTGTTACTGGGAGCTAGAATTTGTGAATTAAGTAATTTATATGTTAAAAATATCTTGGTATGTAGAAATGTTGCAAAAAGAGTAGGTTCAATTTAATCTATTTATAATTTCTGTTTGATATGGCAAGAGTGCTTATTTCTGTAAAAATCATATTTAAATTTCTTGGTGTCTTGAATTTGCAACACAATCTTTCTTTACAGTTTTCTTGATTTCAGTAGCTTCTATTTGGAGAATGTTGCCAGTGTAAGTGCACTGTGTATTTTTTGTACCATTTCTTAAAATCTATTTGATATTCTATGCAATGCTTGTTTAACTAAAAATAAAGAAAATTATTTATTTCCTACATTAAATAATGTACATGAATCTCTGTGATGATTTTGCTTATACAACTGTAAATACATTTTGTTTCAGTGAGAAAACTAGTAACTTGAACTAAGTTTTCATGAAACAATTTTAATCTGTTCGCTGGGTTGAGCTTTCATGTTTGTTCCAAAAACAAAAAAAGGGAGTTACTTAATTCTGTGATGGTAATAGTGTTTAATATCATAGGTATGAGAATATTTATTTGATTAGTTAATTGCTTAAACATTTGATTATTTTTGTAGAACTCCTGGTAAGTTGTATAAAGAAATTAAAAGTGTGATGTTATTTATTAAAGGTCAAATAAAAATAACAACAACAACAATTCACCAGGATGGGAGTTAATGGGGTGGAAAGAAAGGAACTTTTGTATGAAAAAAATATTCTCATTCTTATTTTGAAAACTCAGCCCTACTTGTAGAAATTAGATTTAGTTCAAGATTACTTTCATGTTTTGTAAACCAAAACTCAAAAGTGAAACATGTATGTAAATTGCAATTAATTTAATGTTGAAAACAGTAAGTAATTAAAAATTGTCAAAAATAAATCTCTGAGGGTTAACATGAAAGATTCTTTGAAGAAAAAGCAACAAAGTTGAGATGAACTAATCTAATAACATAATAGTATTATGAAACAGATGTGCTATACTGTCTGG